TTTGCGATGTGCCCCCCTACCAGTGCGCTCTCTGCGCACTTCACATGCGCACTTCAGTAAGCACGAAGTACGCGGGTTAGTGTGTTTTAAATGCCGGGAGAAACAAGAGCAAGGGCCAAACGTCTAGCTGAGTCGATCGGTTTATACTTATACTTATGACTTGACTCAGATAATTAAGGAAACGTTTACATGACCACATGCATTGTCAAGTTTATTCAACATAATCAGGTTAAGAACGTCGTTGCATGTAAACGCGCTCAATCTCTGAAAGTGAAAGTAAAAACGGACTGCTTTCGGCATCTGCATTAACGCCGCGTTCCCTCAGAGACGACGATGATAACGGTAACTAATAATACTATTTTAGTGATATTATTATTAATACTATTTAGTAATTGTATTGTTTTTAGTGTTGGTGTCATTAAACGTTTTGTTAATGTGTTACGGAAACAAATACTGACAACGATGCCATTTTCATCTTGGATCTGTAGGAAATTGAATTTTGCGTCTGTTAAAACGAGCACACTTGATAATTTGTGAATGGATCACCTTGCAATTATATTTTGATGTGGGATGTTTTTTAGTCTGTTTTAAAAACATTCTCTTAGAGGAGTCCTCATTAGTGCGTGTCGGTGTTGTTGCAATTGTTATGAGGTGATGTCGTTGTAAATTTAGGCAAGGCAAATTAATTGTAGTTCCTAATATTCATTTAATAACAATACTAGCTTTATAATAATAATAATAATAATAGGCCTAATAATAATAATTTAATACATTATGGTAAAACGAGCCAATTATCGTATTGATATCGTCAAAGGCATCTGCCATCGGCGATATGTCAGACTATCGTCGATACACAATACTATCGTCTATCGGCACAACCCTATATTGGATGCATTTGGAATTGATGTGATCAAACAGCACCGCACGACTAATAATGGCCATTGGGACGGTCATATTACACAAGATTATAAAGAGAACAATATTGTAATAAAACATTGTGAATTATTTGGGTTTAGATGCCATGTCGCGTTGTTCCAGGAAGAGCGACGTGGCATCCACTTAGTTTAAGTTCACTTGTGCATTCACATCATTTTGTGCAGATATATATAATTTTGTAATATTATGTTTGTTTTGTATGTATCTGATTAATATCAAATAGGATGCGTTTCTTTGAGTTAAATAAACGCTAACAAAGAGCTCAACGGTTATTCATTCAGCGCGCACGCCGCTCAAGCAGAATGCACGACTAATAATAATAACAACGATGGTTAATGTAGGACTGTCATATTTCATAACATGAGAACACTATTTTATTAAATGGTTGTGAGTTCATTGGGTTTAGTTGCCGTTTTCACGTCCACAACAGTCACACGCATCTGAGGCGGCATTGGTGACTCATTGTATCTGTCGTTATGTTTATGTATTAAATAGTTAAATTTATCAATCACATCAAAACATTTTACAATCCTATTAACCCTTTTTTTAGATTAAAAAAAAATTCTTACTTATTTGGTGAGAAATATAGCTTTTTGAGCAGCATTGACCCTGTAATGCTGTTTGCCATTTAATGCTAACGATTAATTTATTGTTAATTTAAACGACGATCGAGCATGGGAATCTGTGAAAATTGACATCCCTAGTTATAGCCATGCACTTCTCTCTTTAACCGTGGCTTGGAGGAGGTATGTATATACTTTACCTGAGGTTAATGTGAGGTTACATAAAACAAACGCTCTGGACAATTCGCGAATAGCGCGTCAGGCGCGAATGATTTCAATGTTAAGTCAATGCAAAGACGCGTTACGCGCGTAAAAAAATTCCTGAGGCGTGGAGTGCGGCACGGAAGGCGCGAATACGCCAAATACGCCTCATTCAAGCGTCAAGTTCGCGTGAATTGAGTGTCTGGCGCGTTAAGCGCAAATGATTTTGATAGTGCCATTTGTGCGCGTCTGCCACCCGAGTTGAAAAATCTGAACTTTGGCGTCAATTCGCGCCGCGTTAACCAATCAGGAGCCTAGCTGCTTGCTCACGTGGTGTCTGGATGCTTCAATAAATTATTTTGTAATATGACTAAATGCATGGTGGGATTATGCACAACAAAGCCAATATTTTATCACTTAAAACTAGGGCTGGGTATCGATTCACATTTCGATTCGATTTCGATTCGCAAGCTCTCAGTTCGATTCGATTCTCGATTCCTGATTTGATTCTCGATTCAACTATAATGAAGATGTAATAAAAATCCTATATTTATAATTTATATAAAAGAACAGTGGACATAAGTTTACTAGTGGTTAATTAATACAAGAAAATTAAGAGCCATAAACCTATATATAAAACACTTTTTATTTTAGGTACACTAAATGCATACAAAGATTTTGATGCAATATGCAAAAAAGAGTCGCACAGTCGCACAGAACAGTCGCACAGCTTGATCAAACAGTATCATGTTATTTTATGTTTTAGATAGATAAATATATAAATATTTAGACATTTTTTACATTGATCTTACCTAAATGTTAATGTATTTTTTGTTAAGAGTTTATGTATGGATGCTTGATTTCAATCTTTGAATTAAATTGAAAAAAGTAGCACAAATAAATACGATAGAATAAAGACAAAAATTAAGAGACATTTTGGGGTAGTTTTTTGGGTATGTCAGAAATACTACAGAAACTGAATAAAGTAATCCAATGTAAAATAACACTGGATAGTCTTTTTAGTCCAGACTGAATTAAATACAAAGGCTATTAATTCTGATTGCTTACAATTAATACTATATTCTGTTGTTATGACAACAGAATTAATGACTGACACAAATGGCTGCGTTCACTTTAAGAACTAGTGTGCGAATCCATTACTGTTTCATTAACTTTCTGTCACACGCGTTTAATGCTAATTTAAGACATTACCGACTGTCTTTACGAGGTTACTCACCAAGACCAGAGTTTTGACATAATGTTGCGTGTTTTAACTGTTAAAGCGATATAATCCAGGGATAAAACTTTTGTTTCTGGCGAGCTGTTTGTGAGGCGGATTTAGGCTGTGCACGCAGTGAAAGAAATCTCTGAGAGTGCGCGAGCACGGGATGGTTTAACATTGCTTGAGCAAATGAATGATAAATGTTAGTTACGATCATAGGTTACGATGCAATGCTGGCCCGATTGTGCAAGTGAATATTCCGTCGTGTCCCGACTCCTAAACGCGTGTGTGTATCGACAGCTGCAGCGCTTGCCTAGTGCAGAGAGACGAGAAGATGCAGCACCGCGTCCGCGAGCCCTTTATATGGAAAAAAATCGATTCGTGGCCGTTGAGAATCGATTTTGAATCGACCACATTTTAAAAAACGATTAATCGAAAAATCGATTTTTTTGCCCAGCCCTACTTAAAACATTATTTCTATATACGAGACATGTTCATTTTGTATTGAATGTTATTCATTCCATATCTAGATTATATGAAATAGTATTATGTTGTAAAGACAATCAACATATGTGCATAAGTTCGTGTCTGGACGTGAGAGAGAAAAAAAATCACAGGACAGGTTAATAACTTTTGAAGACTGGCTTTATTTAACATCAAAACAAAAATAAATGACATGAGGGTGATCCTCGCTCGCTCTGATGCGGGACAACAGGTCATCAAACTGGGAGCGGGACAGCGGCCGTCATCGAGCGCAGCTCCTGGAGCGAGCAAATGGTGAAACTAGCCAAACGGTTCGCCTCCGAAGGGACCGGTGGACACAAATATACGGTGACGATGATCCCCCACGCCGCTGTTCTGCTCACCAGAGTAAATACAGAGTGATGACTCTCGATAAATGCTCGGTCGACATAAAAAAAGATGACCGCCAATGGATTTCGATTCTTACGCGCATCACGCGCCTGATGTGTGTCAAGAGTGAAAATGACGCATGTAAAAACAAAAGTTTGAAGCGAAATTTACTTGCGTCAGTTTCACTCTTGACACGCGAATTAACATAAAGTGGTCAAGCGTCAAACTAGACGCGTCAGGCGCGAATTTGATGCGCTATTCGCGTCCGGTGTGAAAACAGCATTACATCTCATCTCGTGAGCTTCTGATGAGGCTGAAAAATCCACAAAAGTAGAATCAGCTCTCTGGTTCAGAGCGGTTATTTCCCAGTATATCGCGTGATGGACAGCACTGATTTCTTCAGGAACCTTTTTTCACCAGTCTCGTCTCTCTCTCTCTCTTTCTCTTCTGCACAGCACTGTCATTGCCAGTAACATCCTTCTGGTTGATGAGATCATGAGGGCTGGCATGTCTTCACTCAAAGGATAGTCTGTCATCAGGAACCCTGCTGCCATCCCGCCTGGGCTCTAGACCGCAATCCTAGGCTGTTAACAACACATTTGTCTGCTCATTGTATTTGTCCGTTTCATGACCTTGGAAATGTTACTCTTTCCAGTCAGTTGGTTTATTTAAGAAATTGTTGCATAAGCACTGAATTGCAATACACACTTTCTTTTGTACCCATTAAATGTTTAGCTTTTTTTTGTGGAATTCTGTGTTTAGCATGAGCTAATACTCAAATCAAGAATATCCATTTGAGTGCACAGAAAGATGCTCCGCCACTGTTCCTATCATTGGAGAAGAGAACACGTCGTGCTCCTCTCTGTAAAAACGCTTTACATGCACTCATTTCTGTCCCTCTGAATCGTGTTTCAGATGTTAAATTAGATCAGATTTCAACGGTTTTAGCTTTCAACGGTTTAATTTTCAGCAAAATGTGTTCAAGTGTAAATACTTGTGAACATCAAATTTAACTGAAAAAGTTTTGATATAATGAATGAGTTGATATCAAAAGTAACAGTAGTATCTGATGTTGCCTGAAGTTTATTCAAATATCAGACACGTACATACAGGTTTGGAAAAAAATTTTCAAAATGAATTTTTGCATTCATTTTCAGCCCCACACCTAAAAACCCATATATTTAGGAATGTCTGTGTAGTTGTGTGATGACAAGACTACACACAACAATAGTTAAGCATTTTATTAAACGAGACAGATGCTACATTACATTTTTTTTTCTGACCGACTGTCCGTGATCATCTGGATGGTAGACACACACTCTTCCTTTCAGCTTGCATAAAACAGCAATCAGATGTTCTGATAAAGCTCATCACTAAATGCATATTCATTTTATCCTGAAATCTTGAAAATGTGCCAACTCATCAACTTTACTTGCAAACGTGCATCATTTGTCTAAAACACCATTAACAGTAGCCAAATAAACAGTAATCTTGCTCAAAGCCAACATAATTGCAAAAGAGCCAAATTCATTAACTAAAAAATATATATTCTGTAGTTTTGCACTGATTTGCTGTATTTAAATGGGCTTTGTCCTCAAATTTCAGGAAAACTATTTGAAGTGACGTGTATATGCATAAGAGAAAGCTCAACTGGAATTTGAATGTGGTGTGGAAGTAAAAACACAAAGGGTAAATATATGAGGCAAATTCATTCTGAGAGACGATCATGTGATAGTCCTTTAGTTCTTGCCCTGGATGGAGTTATATATCCTTTAAGCTTTTCATTTACGGTGGATCAGTCATCTTCGTCACTTCCAAAGCCTTCTTCATCGTCCATCTCCACTCCCTGAAACAATCTAGAGAAGAACATGCATAAATAACACACAGCAAATGCACCAACCATTCATCTCAAATCACTTATACATGACTAAGACCAGTAAAAACTGGCTATGAAAATATTTGATATTACAAAAAAATGACAACGCGCAAATACAATTACAAGATTATTAAAAATCTTTTTCAACGAAAAATTGTAAAAGTCACTGATCCCATTGACTTTAAGGGATAGTTCACCCAAAAATGAAATACACCATGATTTACTTGCCTTAAAGCCATCCTATGTGTATGTGAGTTTCTTCCTTCAGATGAATACAATCAGAGTTATATTAAAATTATTACAATTATTAAAATTATATTTACTTTATTTATGAATTTCTATTATGATCTTGTTTGTTTTAAAGAAGGGACCCCCTCGAAAATGAGATGGTTCATCTCAAGGGGCTATCCTTGAAACAAAAAAAATAAAAATATCCTGGATCTTCCAAAACTTTTAGAATGGGAGTGAATAGTGCCTTAGATTTTTAAGCCCAAAAAAAGTGCATCAATCATGATAAAAGTAATCCATACGGCTCCAGGGGGTTAATAAAAGCCTTCTGAAGCCAAGCCACTCTTTCTGGAGTGGTTTTCACATTGATTTCACTCTGCTACCCTGACGAGGTTTAGAGTAATAGGCAAAACAGGATAGGACACTTGTCGGGTAGACGGGATGTAAACACATAAGGGCTTATTGAAGACAGTATATGAAGGACTCACTGGTTATAGCACGGCGAGCTGGGGTTGTTGAAGTGGCTGTAGGGGTTCACTCTGCTGAGAGCTCCCAGACAGATCCAGCAAAAATACTTCTGACAGGAGCAACAGGTCATCTTGTTACAGCCATGAACTTTCTGAAGAGACAGGGAAAATGAGAAAAGCACTTTCACACAATGTGTAACAAGTCTTCCAGATTTCCCCTGAAATGCACGCGTTTGCACAACACATCGGATCTCAGTTTGCAGAAGGTTTTTTCTTTTTTGGAGATTTCTGGTGCAGTTTTTTTATTGTAATGTTTTGTAACACTTTCTATGAAGCCTGTATTAATGCATTATTCTTGATCAACTCAGTCCTGGAGGGCCACTGTCTTGCAGAGTTTAGCTCCAACCCTGAGCAAGCTAATCAAGGACTTCAGGATCACAAGAAAGTCACAGGTAAGTGTGTTTGATCAGGGACAGAGTTTAAGAAACCCTGCATTATACGGTTATTTATAAGGTGTTATGCATGCATTATAACGCATTAAGAATACCCTTATGATGCATTATAAATGCAGGCCTTATCTGGTGTTATAATGCAAAGTACTCTTAAAAGTTATAACCACAAATAGTGGGTTTATCACGTTCAATAATGTGTTGTAACTGTTAAGAATATTTATCAGATGATACAACATATTATAGGCTTTATGCATGCATTAAGAATTGCGACTTTATTTCTCACAATTGCGACTTTATTTCTCATAATTTCGACTTTATTTCTCATAATTGCGACTTTATATAGTATCTCGCAATTGTGACTATTTCTCAGAATTGCGACTATATCTCACAATTGCGACTTTTTCTCAGAACTGTGACTTTATATCTCGCAATTGCGACTTTATTTCTCAGAATTGTGACTTTATATCTTGCAATTGTGACTTTATTTCTCATAATTTCGACTTTATATCTCAGAATTGCGACTTTACATCTCGCAATTGCGACTATTTCTCAGAATTACGACTTTATATCTCGCAATTGCGACTTTATTTCTCAGAATCGTGACTTTATATCTCGCAATTGCGACTTTATTTCTCATAATTGCGACTTTATATCTCAGAATTGCGACTTTACATCTCGCAATTGCGACTATTTCTCAGAATTACGACTTTATATCTCGCAATTGCGACTTTATTTCTCAGAATCGTGACTTTATATCTCGCAATTGCGACTTTATTTCTCATAATTGCGACTTTATATCTCGCACTTGCGACTTTATATCTCGCGCTTGCGACTTTATTTCTCAGAATTGAGACTTTATATCTCACAATTGTGACTTTATTTCTCATAATTGCGACTTTATATCTCGCAATTGCGACTTTATTTCTCAGAATCGTGACTTTATATCTCGCAATTGCGACTTTATTTCTCATAATTGCGACTTTATATCTCGCAATTGCGACTTTATTTCTCATAATTGCGACTTTATATCTCGCAATTGCGACTATTTCTCATAATTGCGACTTTATATCTCGCATTTGCGACTTTATATCTCGCGCTTGTGACTTTATTTCTCAGAATTGTGACTTTATATCTCACAATTGTGACTTTATTTCTCATAATTGCGACTTTATATCTCGCAATTGCGACTTTATTTCTCAGAATTGCGACTATATCTCACAATTGCGACTTTTTCTCAGAACTGTGACTTTATATCTCGCAATTGCGACTTTATTTCTCAGAATTGTGACTTTATATCTTGCAATTGTGACTTTATTTCTCATAATTTCGACTTTATATCTCGCAATTGCGACTTTATTTCTCACACTTGCGACTTTATATCTCAGAATTGCGACTTTATATCTCGCAATTGCGACTATTTCTCAGAATTACGACTTTATATCTCGCAATTGCGACTTTATTTCTCAGAATCGTGACTTTATATCTCGCAATTGCGACTTTATTTCTCATAATTGCGACTTTATATCTCGCAATTGCGACTATTTCTCATAATTGCGACTTTATATCTCGCAATTGCGACTTTATATCTCGCGCTTGCGACTTTATTTCTCAGAATTGTGACTTTATATCTCACAATTGTGACTTTATTTCTCATAATTGCGACTTTATATCTCGCAATTGCGACTTTATTTTTCATAATTGCGACTTTTTACAGTATCTCGCAATTGTGACTATTTCTCAGAATTGTGACTTTATATCTTGCAATTGCGACTTTATTTCCCATTATTGCGACTTTATATCTCGCAATTGCGACTTTATACAGTATCTCGCAATTGTGACTATTTCTCAGAATTGCGACTTTATATGACTTTATATCTCGCAATTGCGACTTTATTTCTCAGAATTGCGACTATTTCTCGCAGTTGCGACTTTATTTCTCAAAAATGCGACTTTATACCTCACAATTCTGACTTCATATCTCGCAATTGTAAGATAAAAAGTCGTAATTTTTATTTATTTTTTCACTCAGTGGCGGAAACAAGCTTCCATAGGCTATTATTGAACACAAGAATGCATCTTCCGTAATTCTTCCAAAGAGAAACACATTCTGACTGGGATCAGCCGAACCATTCATGGCATTTCATTTCAGACAACCGAACACATTTTGAGGATGTGTAGCATGTACTGACCTCTATATGAGAGCCACAGCAAGGGCACTGTTTAGAGTTACTCTTCAGCCATTCTGTGCTGAAAGACTCCTCCACAGCCTTCTGGATGACCCGCCTCCCAAAACGCTTTTCAAGGAACTTCTTTCCCTCTTCGCTTGCAGAAATGTATTCATCCCGCAAACTGCGAAGCTCGTCTGTTAACGAAAAACACACCTTTTGAACGGTACAGAACAAACTTACCAAGTGCCTGTAGTTCACATTTTGTAGCAATAAAGCTGGTCACTGAGCATCCAGTACATGAATGGAAATACTAATATCAGAATCTAATATTACTAATATTAGCCAGAAGTGACTCATTCAATCAGTAACTCAAACCCGTCTCTTACCAGCGGTCGCTATGCAGTTGGAAAGGCCGTGATAGCTTCTCTTACAGAGGGTACAAAAGGCGTATCGGCAGGAGGGACAGATGCCCATGGTGGAGTCAGGCTCAACCATCACAGCCATACAGCAGCTCATGCGGGGGCAATACACAACATCGGCCATCAGATCCAGACTGGACTGCAGCAGAAGACGATCGTAGCGGGCAAACTCATCTTCACCCACAAGAAGTTTCACCTATTATCATATGAGCAATGTCCCAAACCATTCATTCACGTCTCAAAACAGACACTTAACAGTGATAATCTATCTTATTTTCATTCTAAGGATGTTAATCTTAATGAAACTGTATTATTACTTTGTCTTCTGGGCAAATTTCATCTTCACAAAAAGCCAGAAGCGATCACTGTAATCCTCTGATATAAAGTCCCGTTTTACTTCCTTTAAGAAAATGTCAAAACCTTTGAAAACATGCATCATCCTTGAGTTTTTCATGATTTGTGTAATTCTTATAACCACTTGTGATGATGACGTCCACACACAGCCACCTTGTTATTCTTGTATCCTTTCATTTGCTTTCAAGGTTATAGGCTAAACGCATAATACACATGTGCATGAGGTCACCGTTTTGTAGTTTACAGAGATGATGAGGGCATCGTTTTCAAAAACTTGCACTTCGAAATTCAATTTCAGGCCCCCAAAATGCTATTGTCGTGTAACTGAACGGCCAAACTAGTGTCTTTTTTTTTTAAATCGTGTCGCTTAAACAGCCCCTAAAAGACGGCCACGAGAGCCTAATGGAGTTCACTACTTGTGCTTCTTGAAATTGCTTGAATGTTTTAAAAAACATGAACAAATAATAAAATTGCACTGGATAGTTGATGAAATTTCCACGCATCTTTCAAGCTATTACCTATTCATGTTATCTATTACTATTCAAACGAGCACACAATGACACAATCATAAAAAAAGGTAAAGATACCTGTGTGGGAGTGGCCAGGGACACACACTTGGGCTCAGGGCAGTTAAGGCACTGAACTTTGCCATCTCTTATTTGGATCTGAAAGTATTCCTTAATGCAGGCCTTGCAGTAAACATGCTGACAGTCTTTGAAGAGCAAAGAGTCGGATCCCAGCTTCTCCGAGTAACAGATGCCACAGCAGAACACCTTCCCGTCGAACACCTTCTGCTTCTGAGCTTCGTCAAAATCCAGCAGCTGAGTCAGTATATCTGTGTGAGGGTCAACTTCTTGAACGGCTCTCGGGTCTAAATCTTGAGCTTTACTGTTATCTCCAGAAATGACTTCGGCTTCTTTCTGACCGGATTCGCATTGGTGCTGCTGAATGCAAGAGCTTTGGATTTCAAGCGGAGACTGTATTCCCAGGAAATCCAGAGTCTCTTCCTTTAGGAACTGGATCCAGGTAAAAAGAACCACATTGCCTTTGTTCTCCTCCCAAAGCTCATCCAGCCTCCTGCAAAGCGCAGTGATCTGATGGGGTGAGAGTGGAAGATTATCGAAGATTATGATAGCATGCCACATATCAATCACGTCAGAAACGATATATGTGATGTGTGCACCACTACAAACATTAGGGGCTCTATTTTAATGATCTAATCCTATTGTCTAAAACGTTTAGCGCAAGTGCACTTATGGCGTGTCCGAATCCACTTTTGCTAGTTTAAAGGGTTAGTTCACCCAAAAATGAAAATTCTGTCAGTATTTACTCACCCTCATGTTGTTCCAACCCCGTAAGTATACTTGTATAATATTATATATATAGTATAATATAGTAATATTTGCATTACTGAAATGTTTATCAATATGCATTGTCCCTTTTAAATAAATAAATAAATAAATAAAAATAAATAAATTGACATGGTATGTAATGACGAATTATCTGGTTAAAAATGCGATTTGCAATTTAAAATGTGTTTTTACTTTTTAATTCTCATCTTGCACTAGCTCTGCGATGCGACACGCATTGCGTAATCACGTTGAAAGGTTACGCGTGTTCTGGTTCAAAAAGTGCAATACAAGCATTGTGGTTAAAAGTATATTAATGGTAGAGGCAGACCGATTAATCGGCCGATTTTAGGCATTTGTTAACATAATTGGCATCGGCCAATATCCAAGTATATCAAGCCGATTATTAGGCTTTAGTGTTGTCGTGAATACGAGTGAGCAGCAGACCTATATATGAACGCGTTCATGAACTATCGTTCATTGAACGCGTTCAGGCACAACACTGACTGTTAGTTAGTAGCTGGATTAAACATGGTTAAAATGCTGGCCAAACAGAGTAAAGTGTGACTGTATTTCACTGTAGACTAAAAGGTCCAACAGCGGGATGACGGTGGGTGCGTTGTGGTGCATTTAAAGTTTGTAAAAAATAATTTTCCATCCGGTGGTTGTTTTTGTCGTTCAACAGCAATTTACTAGCGAAATACGTTATTGTTAAAAGTTAAATTAAATACAATATAATAAATCTTATAATATAAAAAAATAAATCATTTAAAGTTTTTTTTCCTCCTTTTTTGTGATGATTAGGTTATGTCCATTTGTCTTTGTCCGTCAACAAACAAAACAAACCAAAAATACATGTTTCAGGACATTTTTTGAGAGGATAAAATGTTTTTGTTGAGAAAGTTTGTCCATGTTAAGTAATTATCATTTCTTTTACATTTAATCTTTCAAATAGAGGTTAAAAACCAAGCAAATATCGGCCAAAAACAATCAGCAGCATTAATCGGCCATTGGCCGACCCGGATTTCAAAAGATCAGTATCGGCATTGGCGTGAAAAAAAAAAAAAAAAAAACATATCGGTCGACCTCTAATTAATGGTGTTTTTTTTTTTTTTTTTTTTTTTTTTTTAATGACTGATCGCTTGGCTAGATACGACTCTTATTCCTCGGCTGGAATCATGTAGAGACTTTGAGTCTGTACTGAAACTGACATCTGGACCTTCAACCCGTTGGACCCCACTGAACTCACCATATGGAGAAAAATCCTGGAACGTTTTCCTCAAAAACCTTAATTTCTTTTCGAGAAATTATCAGGAAATTTGAATTCTGAAGTGAACTACTCCTTTACATGATCTTACATTTGTCAAGCTATGATTAAAAACTACAAAAGCAAAAAATAACAAAATTACAACAATAACGTTACACACATTTCGGGACATTACTAAACAGGACTCACCTGGACTCTTGTGAGCCATTTGGAGCTTAAAGTAAAAACGGGAGACGACACTGAAGGGTAGTCTGCAGGAAGTTCAAAACTCAGAACCAACGGAGGTAGAAATGATATGTTATACTCTGTGGATTTCTGTCCTGCAAAAAAACATAAATATAAATATATTATAACATGTATTTATTATATAAAAATATTAGAGCTGGGCAACGATTAATCGCATGCAAAATAAATGTTTGTGTTTACACAATATGTATGTGTGTGTAGTGTGTATAATTATTTTGTTTATAAAAATTCACACACATGGATGTATATATTTAAGAAAAATGTGTTATTAATACATACAATATGAATATTTATATTTAATATAAATTATGTATAATACATGCATGTGTGTGTATTTATCTATACACAAAATAATTATACACACACATATATTATGGAAACACAAACTTTTATTTTGGATATGATTAATCACGATTAATCGCCCAGTCCTAAAAAAATATAAATATTTTTATACATTAAAAATATATACAGTAAACATATTTTACACAAAATACGACTCTATGAATATGTTAGAAGAAGGTTTAAACATCCGCTAAAAAGTCTCACCCTTGACTAGCAGTTTGAAGTTAGGAGGAAGCTCTAGGCACAGATGAATCTCACCCTCCTCTTCTGACTCCGCCCGGTGAAACTCCTCTTCATCATATATGCTTGTTAGAGCAAGCAGTTCATCTTTTTTCGCTTCCTGGTCGGCTGACATTTGAACATTCCTGAAATTAATATGAAATCAAGTAACACTTATATTTGTAAAGCATCTTGAGCAATGGAAATACTCTACATCAGAGGTGTCAAAGTCATTTAGTTAGAGTTTAGTCGTGTCGTGATTACTGTCATTTCGTGACGACAACACACGGCGCTCTATTTGAAGCCGCTCACGTCTTTGGACTGGGAATTATGCATTTCTATCAACGCCTAAATAAATCTGCAACAGTCAGGTTGTGATACTTGTAGGAGCTCTCAGAAACTTCATAGTAACAAGTTATAATTACAATTCCTAGGAGGACATGATGACAGCTTGGAGTTGGAAATTATGAAATGGCATTAGAGCAATTTTTTATCTCAAACACAGGGTTTAGCTCAAATCTTCAGGGTTACTAGAAACTTCCAGGCAGGGTTTTTGGAGTTGGTTGGAGCTTCACTTTGCAGGACAGTGGCCCTCCAGGAACAGAGATGACGCAAGCGCTCCAAGTACACTACTAAAAAAACTTGTTCTATGTAATGCAATGTTCCATGTATGTATTTATCCAACAAAGGTGAGTGTTAAAATAATCAGAGGACTACTCTCCTTTCCTAGTGTGACGATAGTCAACTTAAAATGGTTGGCAAAATGTATCATTTAGAGGAATTTGAAAAGACGGATAATGTTAATTGTGCTTAGATTGTTGAAAGTGAAACCTACATCTAAGTAAATCTACGTTAGCAGTAGCCTTTAACATCGTAAATATATTTCTGCCTCGCATGGTGATCAGAATCCCCTTCGGACCGCTATCGGAAGCCCTTTCAAACACCCGCTGGTGTCTGAAGGCGAGTTTTGAGCTGTACAAAATTGTTTTAAATGTTGAGGTTAGCTGGTAGCCTGGTATGAAGGGAGATTAGCAGCAGTGTAAGCCTGACTCAGATCAACTCCAGCTTTTGTTCATGACCACTCCTCAAGCCCCATTTGGCCTAGTTCGGACAAAGGTATTTGGCGGCCAAAACCCCCTGGCCATTGGCCCAGAGGAGGCTCGATCAGGTTGAACCACTGTAGACATGAACTATTTTAACGATGTCTGCACTACCTATAAGGGTCTTGAAAGTTGCAATGAAGTTTCTGCCTATCTTCATTTGTGTTCCAGGTGTGTTACGGGTTTGGAACGACATGCGGGTGAGTAATTAATGACAGCATATCAGTTTTGAGTGAACTAACTCTTTAAGTATGACAAAACTATTATATTATTATTGAAATATTGTGATTTTTTTGTTGTGCTTGTATGTTACAATGACCCTCCTATGAGATGTCAATCACAGCACTGGCCCCCATCCAATTTGAGTTCGAGAGCCCTGATTTACACCAAACATGATGTTCAAAACACAGGAGACAAATGGGGGATGAATGAAAACGAAAGCAGTCAGTCAGTCTGTTCACCTCCTAAAGTACATCTGAATGTGACATCAAAATTTACATGAATTATTGTTCATATCTCTGTAAATTAATAGCTCCATGTATATATAAAGGTAGATATTGGCACAATGAGTCCAGAAAGGAATCTACTACAACCATTGGATTATGAAAAATAACAATTAGGTCAATTATAGCCTAATGATTCTTTCCCTTGCAGTATTTTACTGCATTCGTATACAGTAAAGGGAGGTATTGGAGAAATCTCACCTGTAGAGAGTCTCTAGCACCCTACAAAAACTGTTTAAAATGTGAAAATGTTCTTTTGATATATATATATATATATATGTATATAATTATGTGTAACTTGTGAGTCCTTTGAATTAACGGCTGTTCATCTCATATGTGTTGTACTGTGGGTGGAAATGACAAGTCAAATGATCCCTTTGGGAGCATTTCAAACACGAAACTAACAACTTTAACGCAATGTCACCCTACGACAACAGTCAATTTGATTGAGTTTAGTTATTTCCTTTTATTATTCATCTAACTTACGACCCATGAAAAGATATTAATTTGTAAAACACGTAACTTACCTTGCTCTGTGCCTGATGCAACTTCAACAACAACTGCCACTTCTTCTTCCTTAGGTTTAATGGAGGGCTGCGAACTGACGTCATTGGTGCAGACCGCCACCTACCGTGATGGAGTGTGAAGATAATTAATTGTATACTCCTACATCCTATTTTTTGAATACACTAATCCTGAAGAATATCATGATTGCATTCATTTGTTCTCCCGCATTTACCATAGGCGAACCAGTGATTCGGAGCGCGTATCAAACGTGATTTCAAGCTTCGTTGCGTCATAACTTTGTCGAAATGTCAATGGTTCGCCGCTAGAGGGCGATGATCTCTGTGAATGTTTTTCTTTTTTACCTGCAGGTAAGTTAAGTTAACAAAATCACACAAATAATACATAAAAATGTTCCTGACACCTTTATTGCGTTTAATTGATACGCTTCTGTTGAATATTTACTTTATAGAAATGATTTTGGGTCTTCGAAAAAGTCCGTTAGCATCTCAACCGTTTTCAGAAGAGGCTAAGTTAGCTAAGGTAAGTTACTCTGAAGCTGTTTTGTATATGTTTGGGGTTTTATCTTTGTTTAGATAATAATTTTTGATAGTTTTTTTGCTGGTAATTGTCAATGGGTGATTGGAAGTAACGTTAAGCTAATTTATTTAGCCTAAAATAATGCAATGTATTATTAATCAGTGACGTCAGTTAACGTGACAAAGATTGATTCAAAAAAGTGATTTCATGAGGAAAAAACGTCCACAATAAAAGGGGGATGTATTGTTTATTCATGATAGTAATGTCATATGCATTTATTCAATAATATTTATGTATTTCTCTTTTCTGCATTTCACCTCTCCAGGTAGGTGAAATGCAGCAAAGAGAAAGTATATATGCTTGCTTCCTTGTAATAAACCCTATGTTCTAATCCTATGTAACATTGTTGGCTGTGACACATTGCATGTTATTTTCTAAGATCATGTTGATGTCCTAAGTTACTGCACCCCCTGTCCAAGACAATCTCCACGGCTATGAACTCGAATAGTAAGCAAAACCTCAAACATACTGAGCTTTGACTATTATTTTTTAAAATTTTTATTCAAGTTGAGAACAGGAACATACAAAAGAGAAAGCATACGTACATCACATAATATCAACAAAAAGAATAATAAAGGAGACAAGAGCTTTGACAATTGGCCGAGACTAAAAAGCAGACTATAAAGCAGGCCGATGTTGCATCACACTCCCTTCACAAAAACTCCAAAGAAATTTTATTTTTTTCAAGTGTCATAAAATAAAATACTGTGTCCTCTTTTAGTCTGAGACAGAGACGAGACTGAGACAAGACCAAGACCTTCAAAACCTGAATCAAGACATTCAACGTCACTAAGCTTCCGACAACTCAACCATTAACCAAACAATGAGCTTTCACAGACTCTTGAATCAGATTCTTGATTCTGCTAAGATTGTCCCCATTACTACAAAAATATACTGTATATTTCCAATACAAATACTGGCGATGGACCTGGCGTGCTGAAACTAGTTTTGATGTTTCCCTGCTGCACTCCATTAAGCAGAGACGGTCCAGTTGTACAAATGAGAGATCTTGTGGTTGAAACCAACAAAGTGTCATTTTGTGTCGACATTATTTATATCCAGCTGCAACAAAAAGCAGAAAAACACTTTTTGAAAAATCAAGATTTTTTTGTTTTTTTGATACAACAGATAAAATATATGGGAAATAGACATAGGAAGGCACAACGCATGTATTTAAAAAGAAAAAAAATTATAGATTCACCATTTGTGATGTACAACATAACGATAATGCGCATAAAGTAGCTACTTGTTCTTTTTATGTGTTTCTTTGAGGTTGATTTGAAGTTGATTCATATCAATATCTGCCAGACTTCTCATTTTACGTCTGAATAGGATGTCTACTTCATAAATTGAATGAAAATTGTGGAAATAATGGTTCAGGTCACTCAAAACACATATGGAAGTGGAGGCGCCCTTATATGGGCAGTAATGGAGTCTGTTTATGCCCTAGTGGAAGCGTTCGGTACTGCAGAGAAACACACTCTCAAGCTCATTTTTGGAGATATCAACCTAAAATTTGAAACACAATTTGTTCAGATTTTTGGCTTTGATTTTTTTTTTTTACAGTTTTAAAAATATAACTATTTTATAATTAAAAAATAATATTTAACATTTTTACATTGTACATTTTCATAAAATCAAACTTCTATAACTTTTTTTCTGTTTCACTTTCTTAATTTATTTCACTTCTACAAAAATCTGCCAAATATCTTCTTTAAAACGAGACCAATCTTATGTCAATATTCCAAAGGATTCTTGAATTACAACCATTTATGTTCGAAATGTGCATGTACAGTATATTCAAAAATGGGTGACACTTAACAGGTTAAAAAAAATGATAGCTTTCAATTACACTCCATGTTAAAGGGCTTTAGTAAAATTGCAAGGGAAAAAAATGTTCATCAAGACATAAGTATCTGTATTAGTATCAGTGATACTGACCTTCATTCATAAAAAAATGCCATTAAATAAGTATCTAAAATATATTTGTGTTGTTTCTACATTATTACATTATAAAATATATTTAAAAAAAATAAATGTGATTAATCGTAAATTAATCACAGAAAAAAATGATTAATCTAGTTCATTTTTTAATCAATTGACAGCAATAGTTTTTTTTTTTTTTTTTTTACAAGATAATAGTATAGGAAACAGATGTAGGGAGGCAAAGCCTACTTAATGCATTAAAAATATATATATGCCATTAGCTTTGCAAACACCGTGATGACTTGTTATGAACTGCTCAGAGAATTGGGTTGAAGATCCAAAAGCAGATTTATTGGGACAATCCAGAATACATAAAAGGCAAAGGGGTAATCCAGAAAACCAAGACACAAGAAACCAGGATAATGCTCCGAAATGCAGTGTAACAACAACATACAAGATTTCGCAAAGTCAGAGTTAATACACAGGGCTATAAATTAATATTAGATTAATAATAGATTAATCAGAATAAGATTAGTACAGGCAATGAGTTAAGGGAAATGTAGTTCACGGTGAGATAAAGCAGGTGGAAGCGGTGCCCTCTGTTGGAGATCATGGGCACTCCAGCTGGTGTTGCCAAGGCGTAGCTAAGGACATTCAGTCGGTTTCATTGACTGTATTTCCCAAAACTGTAAAAATAAAATATGGACGTAGTGTCCGTGACGTCACCCGTAAGTTTCAGTAGAGCATTATTTAAGCCCAAGGTGAGCGTAGCAAGCCGTCGCCATCTTGGACAAACGGCTATTCGTGACATCATCCACCTGTCACTCAAGTGGCCACGCCCTTAAATATGCAGAACTTTAAGGCTTAATACGCTGATTTCACGCTGCTGCCATTTTGAAATCGAGAGTGAGGGAAGAACCCCGGAAGTACAGATAGACAACCTGAAGCTGCGGCCGCGATTTACACTGTTGGATATTTATATCCAATACAGGTCAATCAAGTGGTGAAATCAAGCTTTTACCAGCTTCGTACCCTGGCAAAAATAGTCTATACTCTCAGTCTGGAATTTAGAAAAAGTTATACATGCTTTTATCTCTACCAGGCTGGACTATTATAATTCAATTTATATGGGGATCAGACTCGAGTCATCCATTAACCGCCTCCAAATAGTCCAGAATGCCGCTGCAAGAGTTCTGACGGGAACTCGAAAACGAGAACACATAACTCCTGTCCTCAAGTCTCTGCACTGGTTACCAGTGCACCATAGAATTACTTTTAAAATTTTATTATTAGTATATAAGTCGTTAAACGGGATGGCTCCATCATACCTCACAGACCTATTGACTGTTCATAAACTATCAAGAGCTCTTAGGTCTGCGAACCTAGGCCTTTTGGTGGCTCCGAGAACAAAACTTAAGACAAGAGGGGACAGGGCTTTCTCTAGTGCCGCTCCTAGACTCTGGAACAGCACCAACCGCATCTTTAAAGTGAGATTAAAGACGTTTTTATTCGACCTGTCGTATGCAAACTAAATGTTGAAGCAATTGCCCTGTGGTTTTCATTTTTATTTTACTTTTCCCTGTGTACAGCACTTTGGTCAACAGAAGTTGTGTTTATTTGTGCTTTATAAATAAATTGAAATTGAAAAATTAAAAAAAAAAACAATATAGGATATGTATATAGTTTGTTCCTGCTTCTTTTTTTACGTTCTGAATATATATAAAAAAAATGAATTTCACTGTATATAGTCTACTCTAAAGTATGAAAGAAATGTACATTTTTAGAATAACTAATTTCTACATTGAATACAACAATACGCCATCAAATTTGTGCCTCTCCTATGATTAAAAGCGACACTTCCGGTTTTCTTCCCACCGGAGCGATTTCAAAATCGCGGCTGCGTGAAATCAGCGTAGATGATTTAAACGGATGCATTTTAAAAGAATTCACCTCCCTCATAGTTGTCATGAAGGGCAAAATTAGCTATTTTTTGCACCAGGCCGTAAACATATTTGTTTCTGCTGTAAAGTTGGGCATTTTACCATGCGCTTCTATGGGAGCCTGTCTCTATAGCGGCCAGTCGATGAATTGCAGTTTAAGTCACTTCCATGTCGGATTTAAGAGAAGGTTTACGTTTGGACCTGGACGCCACCATGGCAGAGCAGAAAACCACAATGGCTAATCAGGTGGAACTGGAACAAAGTGCATAGAGAGGTTATGGTTGGCCTCTAGGGCTGTGTCAAAACAGGCAGAGAGTTCAGATTAACCTCTGTGGCCATAGCAGGACAAACTGAGAGTTCGTGACCGCCGTGGTCATGTCGGGGCAAAGTGTGCCACACAAGTCCTGAAAAGTCAAGCCAAAGCGTCTCGATCGCCCCCCCTGGTGGCTGGTCCCAGTATAGGTCATAAACCCCACCCCCTCCATGTAACGTAATGGACGTGAGAAAAAATTTGAAAAACATTCAAATTACCCTTAAAATAATTTTTTCTGTCATTTTAGGCATTTTTTTTTTTACCACGGTGATATGTTCAAGAGTTCGTTCTTTAAATAAATTTGGTTTAAGTTAGTTATTTGATGCTATAACAACGGGTAATGTGATGCCATGATTGACTGTTTCTCTGAGTAATGTAGTCAGAGAGGCATTTTTTTTTGGGGGTGGGGGGGGGGGGTTGGAGCTTGAACTTTCATTTCTACATTTCTATAACCGTTTATTTCACACCTATAATGAGTTGTTCTGCAGTAAACTGTACTAAGCAATTCTGCGGCAGTGACCATGACACCACCATGCTCACTACTGCGCAAACTCGAACCTCAAGATGTCATATTGGGTCACTGGCGGCTTCACTTACTACAATTAAAGAGAGGAAAGGTGCGTCGTCCGTCTTTTTTTACAGTCTATGTTCAGGACAAGCAGAAAGTTCATGGACGACCTCCGTGGTCGTCTCAGGATAGCCAAGGTATTCAGATCTCTGCAATCGTAACTGTCACAGATCTGCACTACACCCTCATCACTGCCACTATAAATGCACTCACTTCACCCCAGCTCAGCTCATCTCATCTCGTTTATACAAAGTGGAGATTTATCCCCCTGTCTCCAGTGTCTCGTCCTTCCAGTGTCTCCATTCCCTCCTGTAATAATAATAATAATTTGTTACATTTATATAGTGCTTTTCTGAGTACTCAAAGTGCTTTACATAGAAGGGGGAATCGTGTGCAGTGATGATGCGACGGCAGCCATATTGCGCCAGGACGCCCACCACACACCATCTTACTGGTGGAGAGGACACAGTGATGAAGCCAATCAGTATATGGGGATGATTAGGAGGCCATGATGGATAGAGGCCAAGGGGCAAATTTGTCCTGGATGCCAGGGTTAAACCACTAGGACATCCTGGGATTTTTAAATGACCACAGAGAGTCAAATTACCACAGATCTCATCCGAAGGACGGTGCTCTTTGACAGTATGTGTCCATGTCACTACACTGGGGCGTTAGGACACACACAGAGCACAGGGTGAGCACCCCCTACTGGCCTCACTAACACCTCCAGCAGCAACCTGGTTTTCCCAGGAGTCTCCCATGCAGGTACTGACAGGCTCAGCTTCAGTGGGCGACCAGTCTTGGGCTACAGGGTGAAATGGCAACTGTTCATCTGCCTCCTCACCCCCTGTGTCATGCCATCCTCCTCTCCCGTTGTTGTTATTAATAAACATCCTGTCAATCACCCATCATCCTCCTCTGAGTCTGCTTGCGTAACTGTAATAGAGACAGCAGGTTATTCAGGAGTGTGTGGCCCAAACATACATTATGGTATAGTAGCCATCACCGGCAGTGGTAGCAACTCTTGAACCGCAAGACTTGAAAGGGCTGAGACGAACGGGATGCCTCACACAGACATCAGTGGTGGGTCCGCCTAACTGGATGCCAGTCTCAGTAGCTTCAGGTCTATGGCGGCTGGAGACTCTGGACTTGGGGACCACTGGACTAGCAATCAACAGACTTGAAAGCGCTTGAATCCTGAATGGATCACTCCCCTACATCACCCAACCCAAGAAAACAGTTTAGGGGAAGTGTCCTCCTCTACTATTTATCTAGAAACATGCCACTTCCTCAATCCATAATACAAATGTATAGG